GAATTGAGCAGATGTTAATTTGATATTAAAGGCTATTTTCAATAGGAACTTAGATCTAGTAAATTGCGAGAGCCTGTTAGATCTATGTTGATTAATAAATTGCGAGAGCCTGTTAATCATGTTATTTATGCAATGTCAATGATTGATTATTATGTTTTACCCTGGAGTATTATTTATTGGTGAACCTATCCCCTAGATCCTTTTATATATTGTTTTCTCCTTATTCTCATCCTTCGTAGTTTAGTTTCATATTCAACTTATATATTTGTTACTTCATAATCTAGATTATATTAGTTAATTAGGAATAAAAAGACTTGTTTCCCTGTGGAGTTCGACCCTACTTCCCTATCTACTTTAGTTAAAGGACTTAGGTATTTATTTTTGATTTGGGGATACGACTTTACCCTGTCAATAAGTATACTTAAATGTGAGTCTTACCATTGGAAAATTATAAATCATATGACTTGCTAAATTGAGAAGTGGATTGAGTATTACCATTGGGAGTGAAAAACAACTCAACTTGTATTTTAATACTGAGAATTGAGTCTCACCATTGGAGATGATCTAACAATAATTTTGAACACCAACACAGCATCAATCGTCACACTTATCTCCCTTTTTCACCGTTGATGGTCTCCAAACTCCCCCCCATCCCACCCTCTCTCGCCACCTTCACGGCTTTACTGTGCGTCGTTGCCGCACGTCCGAAGAAGAAGAGGCACTACGAGATGGTGTTGCTAAACACGACCCTGGTAAATGGAAATTGATCTAAAAAGATCTCGAATTCAAAAAATTTCTTCATTCTCGCTCCAACATCGACCTCAAGCTCAACAAAATCGAGGCCATGGTGGTCGAATTTTGCTAGTAATTGTAGATCTGAAACCACCATAGCCAAATTCGACTACCGAGCTCTCAATTTCTATAAAAATCTGTTCAGGGGTGGTTGAATTTGGCTAGAAATTGTTGACAACATTTTTTTACAAGCAATTTCTGAAAAATTTGGTCGAATTTGGCCACCAATCATTGATGGGATTGTTCGCCGTAGAGGAATGGTTGTCGTAGAGGAGATATAAGGGTTAGTCGGGGTTGTTGCAGTAGTGAAGGGATTGTATTTGTGGTGGTGGTTTTAGAGTTGTAATGGTGGTTCTAGTGGTGAGGTGGGTGGCTGTGACGGGAAGGGTAGGAGGAGTTGGTCAGTTAGCATGGGTAAGGGAAATATGGTCTTTTAGTATTCTTCACAACTTTTCCTTGATATTTGTGCCTAAATGGAGTAGGTCAAGTAATAAAAAATAGAGGAAGTACATATTAAATGGACAATCTTTTGGCCATCAATTCAATGTAAAAATCATGGGCAGCTACGTAACATATAGATCTACTCACAAATATTGACTTTCTTCTTCAACATTTCGATAAATGGAATATTCATCACAACCTGGAAGCAAATTAGATAAAGAAACTAAATCGGTTTTTCAATTTAAGATTATATAGATATAGTTTGTTTTTAGTTGTTGTTTTCAATATATTTCATAAGCAAGAAGGAAAATTTTCATTTGGCGCTGCTTAAAAGATAAAAAGCGCTTTTGTACTGAATCATTTTCCTAATATAATTAAGTAATTAGACTCCGTGTTTATCAATTTTTAAATCATATATTATAATAAAACACTTATTTTATTCCCAATCAAATTCTTTATCTTCTAAAAAAATAATTATTAATCCTAATTCTATTAGAACTTAAAAGAACCTTCTAGATCATTCTAGAAGATTAAATTAGGAATATTAATTACTAGGCCCTCCACTAGATCATTGGGCCATAAAACCATTTCGAGCTCAACTTAGTATTTGTGCCATAACTTCCTCATTATTCATCGAAATTGGGCTTATAATATATCATTGAAAAGCTCTTTTCGAGCCATATTCAACTACACTATTATTGGACCCTTGTCATGGACCAAATTAAATTAGACTGGCTATCTTCATAAATAGAGTACATTTTCAAAAACACAAAGAAGGGTATTTTAAGAGAAACAACTGCATCACTTAGACTTTTCACACTTTCACTTCGTTTGATAATCAATGACGTGAAAAGTATTCATCATTGAGTTTGGTTTTTTGGGAGACACATTTGGGTGTCTACAGTTCCCCAACATTCTTTTTTTTTTCTAATGGTGTTAATTTTGGTCTTTGGTTGGGTTTAGGATCGATCATTTAGAACATGAGTCTTAATTATTGTGTCTATGCATATCAAATTTTGGATTGATACGGTCACTTTAGATTGTGTTATTTTGTAAGGATGAGCACGTATTGGGTATCCAAAAGCTGTATGCACATTCAGCTAGTCTTTTGGCCCGTTCGATGACGCACGTTCTATTTTTAAAAAATTATTTTTATTGACTTGTGTTTTTTAAATAATGATACACCTTATTTTGTTACTTATATTTTGCCAGTTACGAAATGCCTATAATATTTAACCATTTAAGGTTATATGATCTATATTAAAGTTAGTGAGAATGTGAAAGAAATAATATTGATTACATGAAATGGATCAACTTTATTGATGATTTTAATATAAACTAAGCTAGTTAGTGGCCTAAAAGATGTTCTAGGTCATTTTACAATTATCATATCGTAATTTTTAAGTTTCTTTATACACAACTTATGATAAATATTGTTAAACAGTAGAAGAACTAATGGAGAAATATATATAAATTAAACAACTCCAATCAAAGTTAGATATGTAATTAAAAGCGTTAAATATAACAATATACCAGAAAGTTTGCTAAGATGGTTAGACATTCAACTTATATTGGTGGTCATGAATTCAAACTGTATAAAAGCATTAAATATAAAACATACCTAAAAATTGATTATGGACGATGTGGCATGTTTTTAGTGTTGAGAAAAGTGCCACGTGACACATAGAAATGTTGATAGTGGATGATGTGGCATATTTCTAGTGTTTGATAAAGGTGTCATGTGGCACATAAAAATGTTGATAATGGATGATGTTGGAGGAAGTATAAATGTAGGGCTCTGAGACAAAATAAAATATCTCACAACATAAAATAATATAACAAAATGTACTAGGAAGAAGGAGAAAGGAAGAAAGAGATAAAGTGACTGAAAAAAGGGTGGAGTGGGGCCCACCTTTTTGTTAGAAGTGCTTTCACTTGAAAAAAAAAACAAAAAAGAATTGGGACAACTACTATTGAAACATATTTTGTACCATTGAGCATTTTTGTAAGTACCACTGAAATTGTATTGTGTACCACTGAGAGTGTATTTTGTACCAATGAAGCTCCAATGGTAATATTTAACAGTCTAATGAGACATTTGAACCATTTTTGAAAAACCACTAAAATTATATTTTGTACCACTAAGAGTATATTTTGTACCATTGAATCTACAAAGGCAAAATTTAAATCCCGCATAAAATGACCAACCTGCCCTGCGAGACAATTCTATATATCTCTCAATCCTCCATTTGGAATGCGCCGATGACGTGGCATGTATTTTAGTGTTTGAGAAAGGTGTCACAGAGGTGTTCTAAACGGAGGGTTGAGAGAGACTTAGAAGTATCTCGCAGGAGCAGGTTGGTCATTTCACGCGAGATTTAAATTTTGTCATTATAGATTTAGTGGTATAAAATATACTCTTAATGGTACAAGATATAATTTCATTGGTATTTCAAAAAAAGGTTCAAATGTCCCATTAAGCTATCAATTAATTTCATTGGAGTTTCACTGGTACAAAATATACTCTCAGTGGTACACAATACAATTTCAATGATACTTACAAAAATCTTCAGTGCTACAAAATATATTCTCATTAGTTGTGGCCCCAATACTTTTTTGTCTATTTTGCACATGAAACCATTTTTTACCATTTAGGTGGGCCCCACCTAAACTTTTTTTCACTCTCTCTATATCTCTCTTCCTTTCTCCTTCTTACTAGTACATTTGTTATATTATTTTATGTTGTGAGACGTTTTCATTTGTCTCACAACCCTACATTTATACTTCCTCGGGTGTCACATGGCAAATAAAAATGTTGATTGTGGGATGGGTGTGAAAAATACTTTCTTAGGAACACTTTTTAGTATAAATATTTGAAATCGATATAAAAGTGTTATATCATTAAGGATTTTTTTACTTTTACCACAAAAAAAAATCACGAATTTGTTTTTTACTACCAAAAATTTTAAAAGTTTTATTTTACCACCAAAAAATTGTTTTTTTTTTACCACATACCGTTAAGAAAACCGTTAAATTTAACGGTTCAAAAAAATTCTTCAATTTTCATGCACAAAACATGTTGTTATTAGGTTTAGGGGGCATTTTGGCCCTACGAGTCCAATTTGAAGTCAGAATTGACAAAAAAATATTAAAAATGCCTCGTTTTGCGTGTTTCACGTAAACAGAGGTATTTTTAAATAGGCAAAAGGAAGCATTTTCGATCATTTTTTGTCAATTCTGACCTCAAATTAGACTCAAAGGACCAAAATGCCCCTCAAAACCCCTAAAGATGACGTGTTTGGCACGAAAATCGAAGAATATAAAATATTCCGTTAGGTTTTTAACGGCAGGTGGTAAAAAACAATTTTTAAATTTTTTTGGTGGTAAAATTAAACTTTTAAAATTTTTAATAGTAAAAAACAATTTTGTGATTTTTTTTTGGTAAAAGTAAAAAAATCCTATCATTAATTTCCTTATATATATATATATATATATATATATATATAAGGAAATTACCGTACTCGAGGCGTTGAGATTTGAGACCGAAACCTCCCATAGATCAACTGGGTCAATTTTGAAAGGCGAACACTTTGATATTTTTCTATTTTTAATATAATTTAATTTTTTTTATCTATGGTAATTATAATACGGAGTTTCTTAAAAGAAAGTACTCCGTATGATATAAAGAGTATATTTATTACTTGTACTATAATTATTTATTTATGGAGATAAGAATCAATTTCGAGAAAATCTTGGTTAATATGCCATATAAACGAGCTGCGTTTATATGAGTCATTTTGCGAGCTAAAATAAGGGTAAAGTCGTCAACAGGGAGTTATCATCTTAACTGAAGACTAGCGTCGTTAATTCTTTGCAATCTAACGTCTGTTTGCAATTGTTTGACCCTGTTCATAATTATACTGACCTCGTTGTTCACTCCGAGTAATTTTGCCTTTCAGCTCCTGCTAATGGAGGTAGCAGTAACTTGGTGAAGAATTGATGCGAAATCTCTTGGTAAATGTTGAGGCGCGATTGAGTGATGTACATCTAGGGTTTCAAAAGGTATGTGTCGTGTTCTCCCTAATTAATACCTTTTTTATCCGGTCGAGTGTGCCTTGACAATTATTGCTAAGAATTGGATTGATATGGGTAAAACTGTGTATAATTGTTGCTGTATTGCCTGTGGATTAATTTGTGCAATTGATGGTGTAAAGGGATTCCACGCATTCTGTCGCAATGAACTATTGTTGCAATTGGGATTGATGATTGTGCCCAGTATTGTTGTTGTTAAGTGAATTGATAAATTAAAATTCATTGTTATCGATTAAATAGGTGGCAGTGAGTGAGGTTTCAATTGAGTATGGCATTACATGGGATTGAACTAGCACAATGATAGTGTATTGATATAAATTGTTGATAGGAAGTTCTATGCAGGGATTGGTTGGCAGGAAGAATGGATTCATTAGGTAGTACAAACCGGAAGCACAAAATGTGCAGAACTGGAAATTTTTCTGAGGTATAAACCCTGCTATGCAACTTATGCTACAGCATATAAACCTCTCTATAAACCCTGCTATATTCATGTCCCCGTCAATTTTGCAAGTGCCATGTGTGTAATCAAGCAAATAAGAATAAAATTGATTTTGTCAGGATGGACTACCGGGTCAAATAAAGAAGCTTTATTCGGAGATATTCAACTAATTCAAGGTCATTATAACTGCTTAGCTTATGTGACTGTTCTGGTTGAGAAGAGAATGCTTAAGCAGCCCTTCATTGCGACAATACCAAAAGCCACCTCAGTTTGGATCTCATGGTTCAAGTCATCATCCCTTGATGAGACAAAAGATAAGACCAGTTAGTATCATTGTTGGGGTCCCTCAAATTTCACTTGTAATTGTGTGTTCCTATCCCTTTTTGGCTCTTTCTGAGTTATATAATGATTCATGAATGTTGCACTGACATTGCTTTTGAGATGTCAAGCGACTGTAATGTACTACTACTGCTTGTGTATCATGTACAGTACAAGGAGATGAAGAAAACCAGCAAATATTATTTATAATAATATGTATTTTCAATTACAAGACCCTTTTTCTGAGCATGATACATTTCATTCATTGAATGTGACAACTGAAATAGCATCACAGAGCTTGTATTTGAGGAGTTTACATTTTCTGGAGTTCACATACTAGATTTAACATCTCCTTTGTACACTAACGCTTTCCATGATGGATTCCTCGGAAGAAATGCGTCCTGCGTTAATCAAAACATATACCAATATGTTAATAATTCTTACTGTAAACCATCACTTGTGATCGCAACAAAGAAAACTTGGGGATGAATGCTAGCATTAGACGAAAATCCCTTAGTGTACCCTGAAAGAAAGCAAAGGCGAAGATATTTTGCATGGGGCATCCCTACAAAATTGGGAATCCACCAGCTGATTCTATCATGGCTTGTCTAACAATTAAGAACGCTGTCTTGAGAACCAAACAGTAATTCCTGTAGTAAGTAATCATGAGATCATATATTATATCAGGCTGAAAATTAGGCATATACAACAATAAGATAAATCAGGAAACTTACTGTAAACTGAAGCTCAGTATAAAAATTGTTGATGCCATATGATTGGAAATACCGCAATAGTCGTCCAAGTCATTTAATCTCATGGTGTCGTCGAGAGGAGCACAAGAAGTAAATATTTCTTTGCAGAGCAACGGGTCATCAAGACCAGGGTCTTGAGCCTAAGACTCCCCTGCCAAGCAATCAGGAAGATCGACATCTCCCATGTATGAAGTGGATGGAGTAAAACAAGATTCTATCTTTGCACATGTTGTATCCTGATACGAAAGAAAACTACCTGCATTAGTTGTATTCTGATACCAAATAGATTGTGCATGCCAGGAAAAAAGCAGAAAAGTTGTATTATGTAGTCTATTCAAAATGAAAGAGTGGAGGAGGGGAAGGTATTAACAGTTCAGACTCAATAGCAGATGCAACAAAGGGATAAAGATTCCAACACTCAACACTCATCACTACAGACATATACACCTTCAGCAGAATTCACTGAAATCAATAATTAGAACAACAAAGGATCAAAGTTGACAAGCAATTTTTAGCAATGAAAGAAATCCAATTTCGAATTGACAACTTCTCCACCAGAAATCACTTTACTCACTCCTATTTCAAATCAATATAACAACAAATACACTAACACCCCCCCGGGCAAAAACAACAACAACAATATTCACACGACATTCAAATTAATTAGTACATTTTTTGAAATCAGTCCATATACAACTAGGATATTGCAATCCAACACAATTACAGAGCATTTTATAATTTAGAAACTTCCCAATTACCTTTTGCTTCACTCCACTCCAATTCCATTTTCGATTAATTGGAAGAACATTAATAAAATCAACCTCATTTTACCCACCAAATAACTGTATTTAACCCATTACAAGCATATCTTTAACAATTGCAACAAACGACGTCAACAATTCACAAAATTAATAGCAATTAAAGGGTTTGCAAAATCTAGGGTTTTCAAGATAAGAAAATTTACCAATTCAGCAATATCACTTTCAAACTGTTTATATGCCGTATTAACCGGGGGAAGCTCATCAATTTCAGGATTAACCGAAAATCGAAAGAAAACTTTAATCAAATCCCTCGTTCTTTATCCAGCTTTTGTTATGATAGTTGGGTAAATTGCCTTACTCACTTACTCCGTATGATACATTAAAAGTTTGAAACCACAACCTCCCATGGATCAACCCGGTCAATTTTGAAAGCTAGACACTTAGAGATTTTGCCGGTTGGGGCCCTTGGGGGGAATAACTTCGTTTGTTTACATTTCATAGCTCATACTACTAGATACTACATTACTACTACTGCCCTCCTCACTTGAGACCTCAAACTCTTAACTCCCCTATCAATGGCGTCGGAATCCATGGAAATCGTCATTTGAGCTCCTCAAACTCAACAGTCAACACCACCATCTTCACCATGGAAACCAGCAGAAGAGACAACAACAATGGCGGAGCTGCCGCCTCTTCGCCATCACCGCCGCTCCAAAAGCCTGCAAAGTTCGCCGTGTATCAAAATCCAGCTCTTTCCGCCGCCCTTACTTCCACCAGTCTCCGCCCTTCCTCCTCCTATTTCCTTACTCTTTTCTTCCTTTCCTCTGCTTCCGCCTTCGCTTTCCTCGCCTTCTCTTCGAGGTATTCTCCTCTTCTTCTTTCTCTTTTGCTTGTCAAATTTGATGAATTATTGTTGTTCTTCCCTAATTTTGGATTTCTGATGCTTTTGTGAGGTTTAATTAGGGTTTTTTTTGAATTCCACAATTCTAATTGGAAATCTATTGCCTGTGCTTGGTTTCTCAATTTGGATGGGTTCCATTTGATTTTAGTTCAGGAATTTAAATGTCAATTGTTGAACGTGTATTTGTGAACAAATTTGTGTTGGTTATTTTATAGAGTAGAGTTTATTGAAGCTATAATTTCACGGTTAATTTCGGCATCATGTAATTATTTGATTGTTGATTGTAGATATATTTAGGTGATTAGAATGAATTTTGTGGCTGATTTTCAATGCACTTCTGTAATGTAGCTGCCAAGCTATCCAAGAGAAAACTATCTGTTTCAGTGTACCCGATTTCATGGTTACACTGTTTGGCCGGAATCCTCTTTCCACAATCATGTCAAAACAATTTATGGGATCCTTAAAAAAAGGGTATAGAGGACTAAACATATATTAATGAACTTATGTGAAGTTTATGGAACTATGGAATGCATGAAACACGACCTATTAATGTAAAAGATTTCCTGCCTTAAGTTAAGGTGGAGCATTAAGTATTTTTTTTTCTTCTTTTGGTGGAACAAGGAATGGGTAAGTTGATGGTAGACAGATTTATGTAGTGAAGTTTTCTTTATTCGAAGCTTCTTTGAATGGATTAGTTGTTTTTCAGTATGAAACTAAGCTTTAGGCATTACAAAGTTGTTTTTCAGAAAAAAATTAAGTTATAGTCAGATACAATAAGTGATAAGTGTATAAAACACAAATTGTGATAACAATTACTTAAATTCAAATTACCACTAAATTAAGTTTAGATAAGTTCTAATAAGATCATATAGTTTATCTAAGTTCATAATAGATAGGAAAAATGTTCAAATCTCAATCAAGTGAATAGAACACAACCTTAGACTTCTCGTGTTCTTGAGCATCTACTTCATGGTGTCCAAGCCATGAAGTTGTTAGTTATGTGCAATGTTGGTATGACACTTGAACGCTTCATTGTGGACTGAAATCATGAAACAATTTCATATAATGGTCATGAAGTTGTAACCTATGTGGAATGTTGGTATGACTCTTAGAGTTTTCATCGTGGACCTAAATCATGCAACAATTTCCTGTATACATTGTTTGTACCTTTGGTTAGTAGCTTTGTAACCCATTTTCTATTATTTGGTCTGACATTCTTAAACTATAGGGGAATATTGGTAAATGTACGGAATCATCTTAAACCTCCCCCCCCCCCCTCTTTTTAAAGCTCCTATAAACTAAAGTTACAAGACGAACTCTCCTTTTCAATCATTTGGAGCATTTTTTTTTTCAGCAAGGTAGATTTCAACGATTTGTTTGCAAATTAAAAGAGGAGATTATTAAGATTATGTGGAGCTGCCTGATTTACATAGTCGGAGTGCAGAAGCTCCGTGCTTGTAAATGCTGTACTGTGTCTGCCACAATATCACTTTAGATTTAATTTTTATCTACTTAAGGTTACAGATTGCTGAAGCTTTGTTCCTTGGATCTCATATTTGGAAATGCTTTAATTTATCATTAGTCGTGGAACATGTTAGAACCTCTTCTTTCTTCATATTCGCAATGCATTTTCGAGTGCAACCTGAAACAGTGAAACATGTGTTCAGAATCAACTAAATTATGACTATGAAGTTTGACTTATTTGCTTGTCAATTCCCCATGACAGCAGTGACATAAAATGACTGAGATGTTGTTTCTGTGACCAATATATCAATTGCTATCACATGTTATATTCATATTTATCTATGGCTGTAAAGAATGAGTAGACATTTTTTTGCCTGGCATAAAAATAGGAACGATCTTGTTGGTAGAGGTTTGGCACATTATTTGATTGATTAAGCAGTTGGTTGATTCAAGATGCCTTATCCTCTGAAGCTGTAACATTGTTTTATCTGTTTTAATGGAAGTATCCCATGTCCCTAGAAAAGGGACACAGCACACTTTTACACCATTCCTTTGGGTGTGCGTGTACACACAGATACTGTTTGTCAGGTGCAAGTACTCATAGTGCACTTACAAAATCTTGCCATGCATTAAGATATCTTGCCTTATCATAATTGTTTAACTTGTTTAGCTGACACTTCCTTTTATCTCTTTTGGTGGCCACTGAAGGGAACACAGGGTCATTGACAAATTTAAAGTCAGCAATTTTTCTGAAGAGATAGCTTGTAAGTCATATAAGAATTGCATGTTTTCTTTCAAATTGTGGCTGACATAAGGCATTCTGTATTGTGTTACTGTGTTAACTTTATATGTTTATGCCTCAGATCTATTAATCAAGTTAGCGAAAATTGTGATGGGTTTAACTTTCATTGGAGCTTCTGCTGCCCTTGTCAAAGCTATTGCCTTTTCAACAGCTAAAGTTGGAGCTGGTGTTGTAGTAACAACATCTTCCTCTAATGGGACCAAGTTTGAAAGTTGCCTTTCAGATCATCAATTGCGGCTTTTGGGAGTAAAAAAATTGGATAAGGCTGTACCAGAGCAGTCCAAAAAACCACCTGTATTAAAACCACGAGCTGCTTTAGATCCACTCATCCCTCTTCACCAGTCATCGTTTAGCTCTAGTCGTTTATCACGAGTTGGTTCTGAAAAGTCTAGCAGTACGGCTCTTAAAAATAAAACTTTTGTTGTCCCTTCAAAGCCATCCAATTCTCCTACTCATGCTGTTTCTCCTTCCTCACCCCAGCTGTCATCAGCTAAGACTTCAACTGGTTTGGATCAGTTGGTTTCAACACCTTGGTCAAACAAGCGAGCTTCTCCCGCTAGAGAAATTTTAACAGAAGACGAACTTGAACACTTTCTAGCAGACATGGACAAGAAAATCACTGAATCAGCCGAAAAACTGGCAACTCCTCCTACTAGGAGTGGTTTCAGTATAAGTAGTCCTAGTACAATTTCTGGTTCAGCTAATACATCTGGAACAACGAGAACAACACCCTTGAGGCCTGTTCGGATTTCACCCAGTTCACAGAAGTTTAATACTCCTCCGAAAAAAGGAGAGGCTGATATACCTACTCCTTTATCAATGGAAGAGATGACTGAAGCTTTTGAGCATCTAGGCATATATCCGCAGATTGAGGGGTGGAGAGACCATCTGCGGCAATGGTTTTCTTCTGTTTTACTAACCCCTCTACTGAGTAAAATTGAAAATAGTCACAACAAGGTTTGTGCTCACTTGCTCACTCCTCAATTTACATATATTGCTGCTTTTATGAGATTTCCTCCTGCAGAAATTGTATGCATTCTGCCCAATTTTTCATGCTCTCTTGCTTTCAATTGTCTTTCTTAGTGGTACGTCTATGCCATTCAGTGTTTTGTCTGTTAACAAAGCCAAAATAAAAGTGTACTGCTCCAATTAACTTGAAATTTCTTGATATTGGTAATATCTTCACATAAGAAATACCGTACTTATTTAATTATGAGTTTTTGCGAATGTGTATGATAATGACATTCAAAAGGGCTATGTTGTGTTGTGTATATGTGAGGCTTGTGGGCTTGAAAGCAATGTACTGTGGTTTGGTCATTGAATTTTATGGAAAATTTAAGCTATCACTTATGGATAAATATTTCCTTTCAAACGACGTGTAATAGTTGATTCATTCGGAGTTGTCTATGGTCTTAATTCTAATTTCACAGTATTGTTTATATGTTTGATTCTGATTTATGGTTCAATTTGGTCTAACAAGAATGGAATGTGCTGTGTAAAGTGTAAACATGGACTTGAAATGCACTTGATGTTAGTGTCTCTGTTTTGGCTTCTTATACAGCATCTGTTGTTTTTAGGTAATGCAAGCAGCTGCTAAATTAGGAATATCAATCACAGTGACTTCAGTAGGTAGTGATTCTTCTGGTGCTGAAGCTCCTAGCATGTCTCCGGCAGATCGTGCTAAAGAATGGCAGTCTGCATTTTCTACAGATGAAGACGGGCTTCTTCACCAGCTACGAGCTTACCTTGTGCAAGCTTTAGATTCATCTATTCGTGAGCACCCCTTCCTCAGATTTACCCTATCTCCATCTTTATATTTCCTCGTATAAGTTGATGCTGGTGATTACAATTTTTGTTTTTTCTTTATTCTAACTTTCTTCAGAAAATGTGGGTACTGCCAATCAGCTACAAACCCCACAGCAGAATGCATTTCTTCCTACCATACAGGAGTGTGTGGATGCCATCACTGAGCACCAGAGGCTGCTTGCTTTGACAAAGGGAGAGTTAATCAAAGGTTTGCTACCGCAAAGTAGTGTTCCTGCTGAATATACAGTGCGAAGGATCAAGGGTACTTGCGTATTTATTATCTAATATTTGTATGGATGCCCTTGCACAGATCATCTTAGATCATTATTTGAAGGAATTGAAACCTTAACTGTCAGTTTTTACTTGTTGGCAATTATATAGAACTAGCTGAAGGGACTTGCTTGAGGAATTACGAGTACATGCGAAAAGAAGAGGCTTCTGATAAAGCAAAGAAGTGGACTATTGAGCTTCCATCTGACTCAGATTTGCTGTTATATCTATTTTGTGCTTTCCTGGAGTATCCAAAATGGATGTTACATGTTGATCCATCATCCTATTCTGGAGCTCTGTCTAGCAAAAATCCTTTATTCTTGGGAGTTCTGCCTCCTAAAGAAAGGTTTCCAGAGAAGTATGTAGCTGTATTATCAGTTATCCCCACAATACTCCATCCAGGATCCTGTGTCCTAGTTATTGGAAGACAATGCCCTCCAGTATTTGTGATGTATTGGGATAAGAAATTGCAGTTCTGTCTTCAGGTAATATTTGTAACTAAGTCTTGTCTACTTTCCTTGGTTTAAAGAAGATATATGTAGTATAATTATTCTCGTGTATATTGATTTTGAAAGCTGTTTGCTCTTTATATATGTCAGTTCAGTCTATATGGATCTGCTGGCTGAGATGATCTGATTGGTTCTTCTTTTTTAGCTTTTACGATGTTCTGAGATCTTGAGTCTTTTAGGAACCTTTATGGGATTTGTAAGGGGTTTGTAAGAGATCTGATTGTTTTATGATGGAAGTGGGGTTGGTTGAATAATAAAAATGTAAAAAAGCAAAATTGAGTATAAGTGTGGAGGAGAGAGAATATAAAAAATATTAAAATATGATATGAAGGGACCACTAGTGGGGAGGAAAATTGTACAATGTTGTTAAAAGTTTCCAAAGGGACGGATCAAGTAATAAAATACGGCCACAAAAGGAAAGTGGAACAAGTAATAAAATACGGAGGGATTGTACTGTAAAAGTGTAAGATGTGGGCCACTTTAGCGTCTAGCAAGAGTAAGTTCATAGAGGAGAGAAATATTTGCCTTTTTTTTTTTATATTTGGCCTTTCTAGGATGAATATAATTAAAAAAAAAAAAAAGATACTTTATCTGTTTTCTATTACTTGCAACACAATGTTTAGGCACGCATTTTAGGTGGTGAAGTGGCGGTAAACGAATGATTTTGTCACAAAAAAATTTTCACCAAGAAAGAGTTAGGTACCATGTGCTAAAATTATGTTGATTAATTTGTTCATTTACATTATATAATCTCGACCTCAAAGTGCATGCCTTAAGGTTGTGTTGTATGTAAACCCGCCCCCCCCCCCCCCCCCCTCCTTCTTTCTTTCTCCTCCCTTTGTCTCCACCATATACAAATACACCATAATTTATATTGTAAATTCAAACCTAGTGTGTTTAGGGTATATTCCCTAAACCCTACCCTTTATTCATAACACCTGCTGAAATGCTTGCTCCATTTGTTTTTGTCTTCTGCTATAACCAGTGTTGATTTAAGTCTACTTTTTTGGACATTGAATATTGCATGTCTTAAAATTCTTTCAAAAGTCTCAGCTTTAGTTTTCTTATTACTTTCAGGGGAGAACTGCACTATGGGATTCTATCTTGCTTCTTTGTCACAGGATAAAGATTGCTTATGGTGGGCTTGTTCGTGGTGTACATCTTGGCTCTACTGCATTAAACATCCTGCCACTTCTGGAATCAGAAGACGATAATTGAATTTTGTTATGGCCTTAGTTCAATACAATATGAAGCCCCTCTCCCTAAAGTTTACATTGTTTTACATCTAACTGATGGAGTAGTTTAGGCATTGTAGTGAGACAGCTGTTTTGAGCAGGCACAGACTGCATGATTGTTGCTTTTGGGGCTTTTCTTTGCCCTAGGCCACAATTTTGTAAAACGACTGGTTTACATCTGACCTAGTTCATTAGGGGATTGTACTTTGGGCCTTCTAGTTAGTAAGATAATTGCTAATATTGTAATAAGGTGACGGGGTTTACGTATGATCTAGTTCATTAGGGGTTCGTACGATTGGGTCTTCTTGTTAGTAAAGATAGTTGCAAATATTGTTGTGATTAGATGATTATGCTAATCTAGGTGTATTTTGACTACCTTCTTTGCCCCTCCTCTCGTATGAGCAGATTGCTGTTGTGATGGACGTAATCTTGCCTTTCTAGGTATGTGTTTGACTAACAAAGGATTAATTAATTTTTGGTATCCATCTAAAATTTTATTTTATTTTGTTACTCATTAAAGTTACAAAATATAGATTTTGGTACCACTTAACAGAATCCGTTAGGTTTCGTTAAGTGTGGCCCATTATCTAATTATTTTAATGATTTAATTTATTTAAAAAAAAATTATAAAAAAAAAATAACCTCCCACTGGCCACTGCCACCCCTCCCCCTCCCCCCTCCCCCTCATCCACCTTTCCTCCTCCCCATGTCGACTGCTGGTGCCCTAACGTTGCGGTAGCGGCGACCCCACCCCTTCCCTTTGCCTCCTCCAATCATAGGAGCTGCAACCCCTGTTTTCCCCCTTCCTCAAAACCCTAGCACAACCCTACGTATATAAACCACCACAAAACCCTTCCCTCCCTCCTATAAACCCCGATTCGGTCCTTCCCCCACTCGAAACCCTTGCCGTTAGGGTTTTTGATGGTGAGGGAGGAGTGTTTGACCTATCATTGGGCGGCAATGCTGGTTGCGGATGCAAAGAAGAGAATTGCAGGTAGGGGCTGCTGCGAATTGATGTTGTTGGCCAGTGGTCAAGTGGAGATGGATGGTGGTTTTTGTTGTTGGGTGCGAGGCTAAGGTGGCCCATTTTGTGGGTTGTGATTGTTGGTATTTGCGTTGGCTTTGTGTGTTAGAGTGGGCTGCAGTTTGTGGTGAGGTGGAGTTGGGGGAGTTGTGGTGTTGCTGCCATTAAGGGGGTAGCGAGAGGTGGTTATTGATACAGTTGCTGTTGTGGGTTGTATTGGTGGTTGGAGTTGGTGGTGCATTTGAAGGTGAAGGGGTAGTTTTTAAGGTTGCCGACAGTCGGTATGGAAAAGGGGACTAGCAGTGTAGTGGTTGAGGAGGAGGTAGGGGTTGCTGGAAGGTGGCAGGACGATAGCTGGGCCCCATTAACGGTAACCGTAACAGAAGTTAAATAGAGGTACCAAAAGCTATACTATGGCTTGACACCATCAAATTGTTCAAGCTTTGTATTTGTAAATTAGGCATCCAATTGTAATGCCCTAGTTGTGAAAAAAAATTCCAATCGATTACACGTATTAACCGCTTTATTATCCGGATCAATAATGGAAGAGTAGGTTGTTGGAAATCGTCCCATAAATTCATTGACGTACAATATCATCAAGTTGTTGCCATTAAGATTTTTTGGCCTCCGTTGGTTCGAATGGTTTGGTTGTACGGTTTACTAGTGGAGGAATAATATGATCAATGACCATATTAGCCCATCAATGGAGTTGAAAGAGAGTCGACCAGTTGTTACATTGCAAACCGTCGTAATCAAGAACAATAGGCACACATGCATGTCTTGATGTTAGTGACTAGGGTAGCTGGGTGAAGCTTGGAGTTATCAACCATGGAAGAAGATGGTGGCCGAAAATCAAAGAATGAGGGAGGAAGAGAAGAGTGGAAAGGAGAATTAGGTTAGGATAATAACCTAGACTTGTAATACCATGAGAAAATATGAGAATATTTGACGTATCTTTCTCATTAATGATTAACCAATATATACAAAAATATTCTAGGTTAAACTAGGAAACTATACACAAAATAAGTACCATAATACAATAGATAGTTACAAAACAATGTATAAATAAATTTCTTTAGTAATTATTGTAGCTGATTTTTGCTAATTGAGCAACTCTTCAATTTATAAATAAACTTAGTTGTTTCTAGGAATTGAACTGACCAATCGAATATAAAGCAAGATTTTAATTAACTACTATTTCTATATAACATCATTGGCTAATATTTCATAACGAAAGATTATAAAGTCATACTTGCGATGCATTTAATAGCTTTGCTCTTTCCTTCAATTATAGGTAAAGACTATAAAAAAACCATGTCCACATTAGTATTATCGTGGATCCAGGTGACTTATCAAACTTTTTTTTTCTTTCTCTTTCTTTTAATTTCCTCTCTCCTCCTGACAAATTATTTTCTCTCTCTTCTTTCTTTTCTTTTTTCTCTCCTCCTTTGATGTTCTCTGTATTACACTTCAACAATGGTGAAGGCGAGAAGAGGAAGTTCATCAAAATCAACAATGGCAATCAAAACTAGATGTGAAATTTTTATCAAATTGGAGTAAACGAAGAGGATACATATGATCATCAGTTGGGCGGCCTTGCAAAGGTAGTTTTCGATTAATAAGTTCAATTTTCTGTGTAAATCGTCCGATTCAGTTTAATTTAACTTAGATTTTCAATTTTAGTGCTTAAAATTCACTTTCAAGAGGTATTTTAGTATTTGATTCGATTTTTAGGGCTTAGTTTTTATTAGCTTAATTCTACTGTTTTTTTTTAAATAAAGTTTTGGTTTTCTCTCTTGAATTGTTCATAGTTTTAGTGTAGAACTAGTATAGTAACCGTACAATTGCACGGTTTTGAAAGTTCAAATATTAAAGTTCATAAAATTGAAACTAAAATTAGCTTAATGCATGATAGTGTTATTTTCTTACATTATTTAATTATTCATTCGCAATAATATAAACCGATCTTATCATGATATTGCATATCATAAATTTAATTCAATGTTGAATTAAAAAAAAATAGATTTGGAGATATAAAAAAGTTTCAAGCCCTTTATACATTTTACCTTTTAGATTAGAACTACTCATGCACATGCATATGTACATACTTTTGGTTTAATCAAGATAATAATACTTTCTCTGTCCCTTGTGGTCATAAAAAATTAAATAAGGTACTCGTACTTAAATTGTCCCAAGATAAATAAAAGTTGCCATGTTATAAATACAAGTTATCCAATATATTGAAAACTTATGTATAACTATAACTTACTATGGAGTACGTGTAATATCCTATATATAAAGTGAAAGGGGGTTTTGGGTGATAAATTTCACTTTCCCAAATTACCCCTTCTCATTTTTGTCTTTTTTTTTTTAAAAAAAAAAAAAACAAAAACCCTACCATTTAAAAAAAAAAAACTAACATAATACCATCATTTTTTAAATCTTAATGCCATATTTTTTTAGGTACTTGAGTTATTTTATAGCACCATTTTTTTGCCAAAAAAAAAAAATTAAATATTGTACCACGGGTACTATTGTGCAATTGAGTTTTAATTTTGGTTTCATGCATCTTACAATCATGTTAATCCATCAAAGTAGATATGATTAGCTTTCAGATCTAAAATCTCTCTCTCTCCACCTTTCTGATCACTCTTTCTCTCTACTCCATTGCTTTGGTTCCCAGCAATCTACCGATCAACATTTAGTAATTCCAATCAATTTCTTATTGCAAATGTTCACGAAATTCGCAGTTTACATACTTCGATTTTGCTGCAAAAGGTTAGATTTATGTTTGTCTTTTCATTTGATTTAATTTCTTAGCTTATCTTTATTCTTCAATTCCATAATTTATAATGTTTCTTAGCTCATAATTTTTTGTTTGATGTTAGTTACAATATGTAAATGTAAACTATCCGATCATTCTCACAAGTTTTTGGTCAACTACATGCACAAGTTGCCCACTAAGCCCATTAAATTAACTCATCTTCTCCAAGCTTCATTTTCGATGTTCGGACTAATTCAAGAAGCTCACAAAATTTTAAAGGTAAGATTTCTATATTTATTTACATTGTTTGATTTTGGCTGATGATTCTTATGTTGCTTTGTAGTTGCATTTTTTTTTTGAAATATAGTTGCAATTTATGTGATTTTCACTAAGTTTGCTAAATTGATTGTGACAATTCAAGTTTTGTAATGAACTAAAGGTTGCCTAATTTTGTTATTTATTTCTTGGATTTTGATGTTATAGTACGTGCGATAGCTAATTTTCAAAAGTTTTTGGTAATTGGACATTAAGTTTGGAAAAGTAAAATTAGAGGATACATTTGGAAAATTAGAGGTTACCAAGTAGGGGGGGGGGGGGGGTTTGTTTTCCGATCTTAAATAAAGTAGGGGGTTTTTTTAATCTAATGATATATCGATAAAAATACAATTTGGGCAAACAGTACAATTCATGGACTTAGATAAACAATTATTGTGTTTTGCAATAAATCAGATTAACAAAGAGAAAGATAATATTATATTGAAACTAACATATTTAGGAGCAATTGAAAAATCATAATCGGTTCCATTGTGAATTAATATTATGCTACAATACAAACTTATGTAGCATAGTCGAGTACTATTTAAAATAGAGAATTGACTTATATATATGTTTCAGATGCATCATATTCATAAAGAAAAGTTTTAAAATTCAGTAAAGGATGAATTAGAATCTCCAAAAAAAATAGCCACAAGTCAACACATAACTTGAATGATTCAAAAAGTTCAAAAATATTCTAAGCATGAAATTAGTAGCTCGTACAGTCGTACCATTGACAACTTGGTAAAGAATTGTTCCACTGGGAGATAAGGCTGCATGAAAGAAAATAAGAGGAATAAATTTAAGAACATATGAAAATATAATCCTATATAATAATAAATAGTATGCATACAAATACCTCATGGTAAATTCTGGAAAACTTCTTTGTAAACTATATTATTTGTAGTATTAGAAAGTTCATTGTCCTTGTCACATATTAAAATTTTCAATCCTTTCTTGCTTGTCACTCTGGATATTTCAACATAGAGTTGTCCATGACTGAATACTGGTCTTGGGAGATATAAACCTACATGTGAAAGTGATTGTCCATGACTTTTATTTATCGTCATAGCAAAACAAATAACCAATGGAAACTGTCTTCTTTGAAGCTTGATTGGCAAATTGATGGTATCTGATGAGCTTAATGTCATTCGAGGAATGAACACTTTATGCCCTATATTACTACATGAAATGAATTTAGCTTCAATAACATGGTTTCCAAGCCGAGTGATCACCAATCTAGTACCATTACATAGGCTAGAGGACTGATCTATATTCCTAAGAAGCATGATAGGAACACCAACTTTCAACTTGATTATATGATTCGGCACCCCAAAGTATCTAATGGTATTTAGGAACTCAGTTGGGTAGATGTCTTCAATACCCATGGTTGCATCTTCCCGACATACGCTATCAGAACTTAAATATACCTTCTCTTCACCTGGTAATAAAGATAGCAAGTAATCATTGAGGATATCTACATTATCATGAGTTGGGGCTAAAATTGCTCTTTCTTGAAGATATTTTGGATCCCATAAATTCTGCAAAATTTCCAGATAAGTACTTTCAAAAATAGCTTCAACTAGATTACATGCTTCTCTTATTAGATTCTCATCATGGATTGTTATTGTTCCTTCACCATCATTCGGCTCTCCTAACTTACCATCACCAAATTTTAATATCCACTCTGAGAATTCCTTTATATCCTGATTGCTTAGCTCTGAACTTCCCACTTGAAGCCTCAAGTTCCTTGTAAGTTTCAAGACCTCACAATGATCCCACAAATAAGATGAGTTGATTGTGGAAAAAACAATGTCTTGTCTACTTTCATTTGTGATAAACGGAAGAATTTGTCGAAAATCTCCACCAAACACGATTACTTTGCCCCCAAAAGGTTTCTCCGTGGGCCTTAGAACATCCCTTAAGCTTCTATCTAAAGCTTCAAAGCAAAATTTGTTGACCATAGGAGCTTCATTCCAAATGATAAGTTTTGTTTTCATTAAAAGCTCTGCCAAATCGCTTCCTAGTTTAATATTACAAGTTGATTCTTCAGTCACATTTAAAGGTATCTTAAACCTAGAATGGGCTGTTCTTCCTTTGGGAAGGAGGAGTGATGCAATTCCACTCAAGCAACGGGAAGCACAATTTCTCCTTTAGACCGCAGAGCTGCACAGAGAGTTATCTAAATAAAAGTTTTTCCAGTCCCACCATATCTATTTATGAAAAATACACCCCCTTGACCTCTTGAAACGACAGCCATAATCTTCATGTATATCTTTCTTTGCTCATCTGTAAGACTTGAAAAAATTTTCCCGTGCTCTATATGCAAAGCTGGTCTATCATATTGAAGTTCATCTTGAATTAGCTTGTTTCTTCCTTCTGACATAAGCATGTCATCTGGGAATGGTAACATGGGATATTTTCGAAGCGTACCACCATTACCTTGTAAAAATTTTTCAATTTCACTAAGAGTGTAGCCTTTCAATTGATCTTCATTTAGCTGCAAATCTGTGCATTTTAATGTAATATGTAAATTATGCATCTAATAAATGAATATATATAAACAAATATAGAAAGAGTATTTGGTGAATCTTTATGTATTTTAAGTATCTTACTGGGTTAGCAGAGGTATGTAATGTGGCTTATAGTTATCAATTATGATTACATTATTCTGTTTATGCAATGATTAAACTAAAATTTACAATTAGCCTGAATGTGCCTTTAGCAGTATAGCAAGGCTATTTTATTATCATTTTTTTTTTTCTAATATTATTATTTGGCCTTGAAAATTACATGCTTATTTTTTGCGTTATTGCAGATTGTGAAAGCAATGGTGTCCTTCGAACAAGTGTATTATTCTGATAGCGGGTTCAGAATTATTAGAAAGCTAATATATTCAGTAAGGTCAAGTGATCGGAATGCCTGGGTGGAGGCCGCTTCCGATCAGTAATATTAATATAATTAATATTACAGCTTAATCTCGACTGAACCCTTCGGGTCACACCCAAGCAAAATATACGAACCAACTCGACGAATTAATTCGGAAGAAATTAATTCGTCGCCCGAGTGTTAAATATTTAGACGTCGGTAATTCGAGCTTAGAGCGTCGAAACCGATCGTCGGAAGTCGAGTCTAAATGATAAAAGACAAGACGCGAAAAATAATAATAAATCGACCATATTCCCGAAAATACCCCTAGCATCGGAGTGCCCCGAGCATCCGAATGCTAGGGGCAAGACGAGCTAGCGCACCGTGCTGGCAGCCACGGCCAGCCACGGCTAGGCACAACAGCAGCAGCTGGTGCGGGCTGGGCTCGGGCCATAGGGCCGTGAATAAGGGGAAGCTTGGAATATGGGAGTAAGTGGGGTTGCCATGTGGCGCAAGGTGAGGGAGAGAGTGGGGAGCAAGTTTGGTCCCCATCTCCAAGTGGTCCTCACCTACTCCCTCATGTATGCTTGACACTTGTTGATTTATTACTAGTTTGCTTAATAATTTTATTTTAGCTTTAAAATAAAATGTGAACTCATTGTCCGACATTGATGGGAGAGATTTTCATACTCTCATCATTCCCTATAAATACCCAACTTGGGGCATTGGAAATGATGCTTGAGTGGGAGTTAAAAAGAGCATTCCATAATTTTGGGAAAACTCTTAAACTCATATAACACTCGGGTTTTGGTCGGACCTTGCTAACCCCAAGGTAGCGGACCTTAAAGTTGTGTTCGCCCTTTTTGTGGGTGGATACCGTCGGAGGCGCGGCGCATGACGTGCTCGTAGCTTTCAAGTAAGAGTCCCGGTTTTTGGGCGAAGCTCGCTTCGATGGTAAGATTCGTTATCTTTTCTTTGTGATTATTTATTTATGCTTTATGATTTTAATTATTGCGAGTGGTTCCTCGGGTCGGGGTTTGTTTCCGCGGTGAGTTGGACTCACTAAACCCCAACAGCGGTATTGGAGCCCCGCTCGTTTATTTTTATAATCATGTTTTTCAAGGTTTATTTTGGCTTAATTTTCTGGTTTAAGTTGCTAATTAGATTAGTAGCTCGGTTTTATTTTAATCCCGTTTTTAATGTCGAGTTTGGCCCAGAACCCAGATTTTCGCCCAAGACTAGTGAATTTTGGGTGGAAAACGTGTTCTGGAAAGGTTTTTACTCCCAAAGGGCCTGTGATTTTAGCCAAATTCTGACCAGAAATTCCTTTTTCGAGGGGTTTTTCGTTTTTGATGAAAATTTTTAAGTCTTTTCTAACCTTGAAATTAATGGCATAAATTGTTGATTATATGGTTGATTATTTGCATTATTTTCTGCATTTTTATGTCCCCTTAAAGCACACTTACTTGGTAGTATTTGATGCTTAAAGGTTGATTTATTTTCACATAATTGCAAACTAATTGCTTTTTAGTGTGAAAGTTTTATTTTGAGGCTTCCTAAGTGTTAAAGATTCAATCTTTATTTGTGATAAGTGATTGAAACTTTAAAAAACCACTAAATTCCATGTCATTTTGTGTTAAACTTTGATGTTTTAATCATTTTGAGTTGATTGGAAACATAAAGTTTCGATTTTTGTGATAGAAATTTGGTTATCTTCATGTTGGAAGATATAATTTTCAAGGATTCACAAAAAAATTAGATGTTGGAATTTTCATTATGAGCATTAAAGTTCATATTTTTCCAACTTCCCTTTACTTTGTCAAATTCTCAAGTTTAATTTAAATTGATTAAATTGAAAGTGAGAAATTGCCTCAATTTTATGTTGCACCAAGCTAAACCAATTTAATTAAGAATGGTTCTTAGAATTATTTAGGTTATTTGCACTTTGAAAATTTTATTAAGTTAGACTTGTTTAAAATTTTATTTTTCTCTCTAAATTAGTTCTAAAATTAATTTAGAATTAATTATTGTTATCTCGCGAAAAGGGATCAAATCCCGAGGTCGTGGCATGCAAAACGAGGCAATGCATCACCTTGGCGAGCCAGGCTGCATAGCAGCCCATATGTGGCTGCCAAGGTGGCAGCGCCGCCTTGCTTGCGGCCACACGCGCGGCAGCAGCCACGCACGGCAGCAGCATACGCGCGGCAGCAGTACGCGGGCTGCAGCAGCCACACGCGGCTGTGCCGTGGCAGCAGCTCGCGGCCGTGTGCCGTGTGTTCGTGGTCTTGGCGTGTGCGTATGCTTGGTGCGGTGAGGTGAGGTGGCTAGCCGTAGTAGGCTTAATGTTAATTATTTTGCCGTTTATTTATTTTAATTAATTTTGTTTATTTTAATTAAAATTTTGGGAGGCTAGGCCTCGGTTTTGAGCGGCATTGGCAAAATTTTCATTTTGACAAAGTTTGGGTGCTACCGACTTAATTAATTAGATTAATTAAGGAAATGCGAAATTTAGTGGGAGCTTCAATTATTAATGACGTAAATTATATAATCGGTTAAACAATTTTGACTAGTTTTAATTAGGCGTGTTAATCGGATTAACCACCTAGATTAGTTACTAGTGCGCGCGTTGTTTAAATGCATTTTACTTTGTTTTAATTTGTAAATTGCATGGGCCATTCACAAATAGTGAATGGATGAATGGAATATATATATTCTCTCTCACAGGTTTTATGAAATGGCAACTAGTGGGACCCGACTAGGATAGAAAATACGGACTACGTGCCGTTATGTATTTTTGTAAATCTAAATACGGTCTACGCACCGTTAAGTATTTTTGTACTTTAATATTTAGATTATTCCTAGTTGTAGACACTAGTTTTTGCATAGTTTGGTTAAGTCTTGAAGACGGCGTATCTTGGAAGACAAAGCTTTGAATTGCAAATGAAGACCTTTTGAAGATATGAAGATTTCAAGGGGTCATGCTAGTTGCCAATATGCATCTATAATTTCGCTCTATATTTTATGCTTATATATATATGTGTGAATTATTCGTTAGATGCATGTTTTAGGTTTTCTTGATGTTGCGATGATTAGTTAAGTTCACTTAAATCAACCAACATAGAAATCCTAGGTCCCTAATAATATTGAGTCAAACTTGCCTTTCCAAAACAACACTTACTAACCGAACGAGAGTGATGGTAGGCTACGCCAAAGCGAGGTGCCATCACTTCTCCAAGGGGCATAAGGCACACCGGGTGTGCACGTTGGTTTTGGTTTAACTCATCGGTATGAGTGAGGAGTCCTCACATACTGTGGCAAAAGAGATACATCGTCAAAGATGCATTAGATGCGACGATTATCTAACCAAGAGTGGCTTAGAGCTATTAGCAAAGCAATGCTTACCCAAGAAGATTGAGTGTTTAAGACAAGCCAAAGCATGCTTAACCACTCTTTGTTTCTTCGGATCTTGGAATCGCCTTATTTTCACAAAATAGGGACAAATTTTGCGTGTGAATAAGACGTTAAATAAGTATTGAAAATTTGCATGAATAAAATTCAATCTTATTAAGTATTTTTGAATGGTTTTTCATTAAAATTCTTTCAATTGTAGAATCATGTCTTCAACCCTAAACAATCAGTTTTCATTACGCTCAATTCTCGACAAAGAGAAGTTGAGTGTTACCAATTTCCTTGATTGGAAAAGGAATTTGCGCATCGTTCTTATGCAAGAATAGAAAGAGTATGTCCTTGATGAGGAAATGCCCGACGCTCCAAATGAGGAGGTAACTCAAGCGGCCCTTAACCGATGGCAAGTAGCCGATCGGGATGTCAAGTGCGTAATGCTAGCCACTATGTCTCCTGAACTTCAGAAAACCTTCTTCGAGAAGGAATCGACCTATGAGATCATTTCTGAGTTACAGAATATGTTTCAAGAGCAGGCTCGAACTGAAAGGTTTGAAACCCACAGGCAGATCCTTGAGACTAAGCTCAAGAAAGGAGAGCCAGTCAGCCCACATGTGCTCAAAATGATCGGATTTTGAGAACATGGGAAGGCTTGATGCGGGGTATTCAACTGAAATGGCTATTGACATCATTCTCCATTCCCTTCACAAAGGCTATGACCAGTTCAATATGAACTACAACATGCATAGCATGGAGAAAACCCTCACCGAGCTTCATGGGATGTTGAAGCAAGCTGAGCAGACGCTCAAGGATGAGGGAAAGCATGATATGCTCATGATTAAGAAAGGTAAGCCGTTCAAAAGGGCAGGCAAAAGGAAGAAGGGCTTCAAAGGGAAAGGGAAGAAGAACTTTCCGCCTAAGCCGAAAGCTACCAAAGACAACAAGGAGAAAAAGGTAGCATCTTCTAAGTCTGATTCCGAATGCTTCTATTGCAAGTATAAGGGACATTGGAAGAGAGACTGCCTCAAATTCAAGGAAGATAAGAAGAACAGAACCGTTGCTTCTACATCAGGTATTTACGTTATAGACTTTAACTTCACTAGCTCGGCTTCATGGGTATTAGATACCGGATGTGGCTCACACCTTTGTTCCAATTCACATGCACTAAGGAACACTAGGAAGCTAGCGAAGGGAGAGATCGAGCTCCGGGTAGGAAATGGAGCAAGGATTGGTGCTATTTCCATAGGATCTCTTAGTTTGTCTTTGCCCACGGGGCTAGTTTTGGAACTTGACAATGTTTATTGTGTTCCCAACATTACCAAAAAAATCATTTCAATTTCGGCGTTGGACGCCAAAGGTTTTGAATTTCGAGTTAAAGACCAATCATGTTCATTTTATCTCGATAATGTTTTATATGGTACGACACATTCAGAAAATGGTCTTTATGTGTTATCACTAGACAAGGAAATTTATAACGTTAATAATCCTGCAAAGAAAGCTAAGACTACACAGTCTAGTCAAACTTATTTGTGGCATTGTCGCCTTGGCCACATTAACATCAAACGCATCAAGAAACTTCTACAAGAAGGTATTCTTGACTCATTTGATTTAGAATCCTTTGAGAATTGTGAAGGATGTTTATTAGGCAAGATGATAAAGCAACCATTCTCCAAGTTAGGAGAAAGGGCCAGTGACTTGTTGGGACTAATACACACCTATGTATGTGGACCAATGAGTACACCCGCAAGGAGTGGTTATCGGTATTTCATAACCTTCACGGACGACTTTAGTAGATATGGTTATGTCTATCTAATGTCGCACAAATCTAAATCGTTTGATAAATTCAAAGAATTTCAGAACGAAGTTGAAAACCAACTCGGCAAGAAAATCAAAGCGCTTCAATCGGATCGAGGTGGCGAATATTTGAGCCAAGAGTTCGATGACTATCTGAAAGAACATGGAATACTTTTAGAGTTGACACCTCCGAGAACTCCTCAATGGAATGGAGTATCTGAAAGGAGGAATCGAACCCTGTTAGACATGGTCCGATCTACTATGGGTCTTAGTGAACTTCCAATCTCTTTCTGGGGACATGCACTTTTAACTGCGACACTCACACTAAATCATGCTCCGTCAAAAGAAGTGGAAAAGACTCCATATGAATTATGGACAAGCAAACCGCCAAGGTTGTCTTTTCTCAAGATTTGGGGATGCGAAGCATATGTCAAGAAACTCATTTCTGATAAACTTCATCCGAAATCTGACAAGGTTTACTTTGTGGGTTATCCAAAAGGAACCAAAGGGTATTACTTCTACAACAAATCCGAGAACAAAGTGTTTGTTGCTCGTGATGGTGTCTTCTTGCAGAAGGAGCATCTCTCCAAAATGACAAGTGGGAGGAAAATCGAACTCGACAAAGTTCGAGAGGACGAGCAACAAGGACAAGTTGACAATCAAAGTGCTTACCAAGCAGCTGTTGACATTGGTCAAAGTCAAAATATGCAAAGTCAACCCGACAATGCAAATGCTCAGTCCATTACCCTACGTAGGTCGACTCGACCAAGATCTCAACCTGACAGATATCTCGGTGTTGTATTAACCGAAGATCAGGACATCCTAGTAGTGGATGGAGATGAGCCAGCAACCTACAAGCAAGCTATGACGAGCCCCGACTCTGCAAAATGGCAGGAGGCCATGAAATACGAAATGGACTCCATGTTTAAAAATCAAGTATGGGACTTGGTTGATTTACCCGCAGGTTACACACCTATCGGATGTAAATGGATTTTCAAGATGAAAACCGACAAAGATGGAAATGTATGTATTTACAAAGCAAGGCTGGTAGTAAAAGGTTACAGGCAAATTCACGGCGTTGATTATGATGAAACCTTTTCTCCAGTTGCTATGCTTAAGTCCGTTCAAATTCTTCTAGCGATTGCTGCATATTACAATTATGAAGTATGGCAGATGGACGTCAAAACCGCCTTCCTCAATGGGATTTTGGAAGAAACTGTGTATATGACACAGCCTGAAGGTTTTGTCGACCAGAATAATCCTAAGAAGGTATGCAAGCTTAAGAAGTCCATTTATGGATTAAAGCAAGCAAACAGAAGTTGGAATCTGCGATTTGATGAAGCCATCAGTGAGTTTGGTTTTATCAAAAATCCAGATGAGTCTTGTGTCTACAAGAAGGTCAGTGGGAGTGACATCGCCTTCCTAGTCTTATATGTCGATGACATTTTGCTCATTGGAAATAGCATTCCATTTCTAGAGTCTGTAAAGACTTGGCTCGGGAAATGTTTTTCAATGAAAGACTTGGGAGAGGCTCAGTACATATTAGGCATCAAGATCTATAGGGATAGATCAAAAAGGATGATTGGAATGAGTCAGAGTACTTACATCGATAAGGTACTGGCTCGATTCCAAATGGAAGGAGCCAAGAGAGGGCACCTACCCATGTCACATGGCATAACCTTAAGCAAGAAGCAGTGTCCAAAGACACTTGATGAGCGAGAAAGGATGAGTCGAATTCCATATGCTTCGCTTATTGGATCGATCATGTATGCCATGATATGTACTAGGCCTGATGTATCGTATGCCTTAAGTGCTACGAGCCGATACCAATCAGACCCAGGAGAGACGCATTGGACTGCGACCAAGAATATTCTAAAGTACCTGAAAAGGAACAAGGATAAATTCCTGGTTTATGGTGGTAAAGATGAATTGGTTGTTGAGGGATATACCGACGCAAGCTTCCAGACAGACAAAGACGACTTTAAGTCACAATCAGGATACATATTCTGTCTCAATGGAGGAGCGTTTAGTTGGAAGAGTGCAAAGCAAAGCACAACCGCTGATTCTTCAACTGAAGCCGAGTACTTGGCATCATCTGAGGCAGCCAAGGAGGCAGTTTGGATTCGCAAGTTCATTGATGAACTTGGTGTTGTACCCTCCATCAAGGGTCCAATAGACCTCTATTGTGACAACAATGGAGCTATTGCTCAGGCTAGAGAGCCACGAGAACATCAGAAGGTCAAACATGTCCAGAGGCGATTTCACATGATTCGAGAATGGAAGTCAGAAGGTGAAATCAGAATTTGCAAAGTTGGAACGGATGACAATGTAGCCGATCCACTTACTAAACCTTTGCCTCAAGTGAAGCACAACAAACACATTGAGGCAATGGGAATCAAGCATGTCATGAACTGGCTTTGAATTCCATTTTATAGTGTTTTAATCAAATTTTGAACAATGTTGATGTAAAGCACCATGATGAACCATTCAGTTTTGGAGTAATTAAAATTTTCATGCAATTTAAATCACTCTGTCTCTATTTAATTGTGGTTTAGAATTAAATAATGAGTCCATTCGATTTTAATAAATATTAAAAATAGGGTATCAAGTCAATGGCTTGGATAAAGAAACACCTATTAAGTGAACATTGAATATTTTAATCGAAAATTATCCCTAATCAAGGTCATATTTTATGGACGATTAATGACCATCAGAGATTAGTGTGTAGTATGATTTGTAGCACCGTTTCTTGTGCTATGAGGATATAAATCATTTGCACAGGTATTGGTTTAGAACCATACTGGATCGACCTATGAGGATACTTTAAGAGATTTAAAAATCGTCATAAATATTTTCTCATTATTACTATCGGAACTCTTTTCCTTTGACCATGAGTAGTGGGAGATCTCTTGTTTGAGTACTGGTCCGCTTTGGTATCCGCCAAACGTCTGCCGTAACTGGGGATTATAAAGACAGATATCGGGCGGGTGAGTCCTCTTAGTAAGAGAAGCTACATTACAAGACTGGAAATGTCCCCTTATTAACAATAGGGAACATGTCTTGTTGTTTACAAGGCCTCTTGAAGAGCGAGACTGTGAAAAATGCATGGTCGTGCTCAGATGGATTTTAGAAATCATCTGCTTACTAACAGTCAAACTCGGATTTCGAGAAACACTTCTGGACGTAACAGAGATGACTAGTAATATTACTCTGTAGTTCATGAAGAGACATGAAGAGACATAGGATAAGGGCTATACACTAAATGCACACTTGTCCGGAAGGACAAGTGGGAGATTGAAAGGAATGGTGTCCTTCGAACAAGTGTATTATTCTGATAGCGGGTTCAGAATTATTAGAAAGCTAATATATTCAGTAAGGTCAAGTGATCGGAATGCCTGGGTGGAGGCCGCTTCCGATCAGTAATATTAATATAATTAATATTACAGCTTAATCTTGACTGAACCATTCGGGTCACACCCAAGAAAAATATACGAACCAACTCGACGAATTAATTCGAAAGAAATTAATTCGTCGCCCGAGTGTTAAATATTTAGACGTCGGTAATTCGAGCTTAGAGCGTCGAAACCGATCGTCGGAAGTCGAGTCTAAATGATAAAAGACGAGACGCGCAAAATAATAATAAATCGACCATATTCTCGAAAATACCCCTGGCATCGGAGTGCCCCGAGCATCCGAATGCTAGGGGCAAGACGAGCTAGCGCACCGTGCTGGCAGCCACGGCCAGTCGCGGCTAGGCAGAGCAGCATCCGCGCCGCGCCACGGCAGCAGCAGCACCGCACCACAGCAGCAGCTGGTGCGGGCCAGGTGCGGGTCGGGCTCGGGCTTTGCTCGTGGCTGGGCTTGGGCCATAGGGCCGTGAATAAGGGGAAGCTTGGAATATGGGAGTAAGTGGGGTTGCCATGTGGCGCAAGGTGAGGGAGAGAGTGGGGAGCAAGTTTGGTCCCCATCTCCAAGTGGTCCTCACCTATTCCCTCATGTATGCTTGACACTTGTTGATTTATTACTAGTTTGCTTAATAATTTTATTTTAGCTTTAAAATAAAATGTTAAAATCTCATTGTCCCACATTGATGGGAGATATTTTCATACTCTCATCATTCCCTATAAATACCCAACTTGGGGCATTGGAAATGATGCTTGAGTGAGAGTTAAAAAGAGCATTCCATAATTTTGGGAAAACTCTTAAACTCATATAACACTTGGGTTTTGGTCGGACCTTGCTAACCCCAAGGTAGCGGACCTTAAAGTTGTGTTCGCCCTTTTTGTAGGTGGATACCGTCGGAGGCGCGGCGCTTGACGTGCTCGTAGCTTTCAAGTAAGAGCCCCGATTTTTGGGCTAAACTCGCTTCGAGGGTAAGATTTGTTATCTTTTCTTTGTGATTATTTATTTATGCTTTATGATTTTAATTATTGCGAGTGGTTCCTCGGGTCGGGGTTTGTTTCCGCGGTGAGTCGGACTCACTAAACCCCAACAGATTGTACGTGACTGGGAGATCAAGCTGATATGTTCAGGATGTGGTTAGATCAGAAGCAGGCTAACATGAGAAGTAAGTAGTATATATCTACTATCTCTACTATATCTATTTTTTATGGATAGCATCTTTCATGCAATCTCTTTTAGGACAATAAGTAGCCATAACATTTATGCTTTAGAATAACTATTTCTCTTACTAACAGAGTTTAAGCTTTGTGGACTGTCCTATTTGACTTATTACTTGTGAGTTTAAGCTGAATATTAAATTTAATCATTAATGTCTTTGGTGCTTGTCCTACCAACTTCTATATTGCATGATCAAATGTATACTTAGTCACATTTATGTATGTTTCTTGCTAATTGAAATCTAGATTGCACATAGAAAATTGAAGATGGTTTTTCTTACTAATTAATATGCAACTTATTATAAGAAATGAGCACGTTGCTTAGAGAAGATGTTTACGATCAATATGTAGAATGCATCTTTGTCTGTGAATAATATCATCAGATAGTAAATTCCATGTCACTTCCCAAACATACTCTGGTTGTGATAGACTGTCAGACAACAGTAGCAAAGAAAAAAGGCTTCTTAATTAATGTGCAGATCCCCAAAAGCTTGCTTCTTTAATCCCATCAATGTATTCTTTGTCGTCATCTAATAGTCCTAGTGCATAGCAAGCATCTTTAAATGAAGGATATAGAACACCATCGATCGTTCTTATATCCTCATAACATGTTGGGCCTTTGACATGATTTAGTAACACTCTTAAGTAGTATCTCTCTCCACAACCTGGGGAACAAGGTAGATTCTCCCAATAGAAAATCTTCCTTTAATTTTTCGTTTTCTCCATCGTTTTTATTCTCCGATCCATACGAACCTTTTTGGGAATTCAACATAAGTGAGTTGTCTAGCTTCCTCATCAGTCTTGTTACACTCCATCCATGCTAAGAACATTAAATTCTCAATTGAAGGTTTGTTTATGACTGAATCTATAGGATCATCGTCTTCAAACACAATGTTTTGCTCATCTTAGAAGATGAAAACTCAATCTTTCAACAGGAGGAAATCTATAATGCATGTCAAATCCATAAATTCTCCAAGTTGCTTCACAAGGTGAAATATACCTGCAATTTGTTAGAAAATATGTTAAATACTTTTTTTTAATACATATGTATAAATACTTTCTTAACCAACATACATCCAAAAAAAAAATAACTATATAATTTTAAGAAACTTAAAAAGTGTAATCAGGGAAACTAACCTGCAATCATAATAGGACTTTATTTCATCAACATTATCACCATTTTCTCCATAAAGTGCATTCGTAACACGATCATTTCCTTTATTTATGTATTTAAATAATTACTTGATCGACCTGTGTTGGTTGCACCATTAAATATTGATATGAGCACGATATTTTAGCAAGAGTGTCGGGTTGTAGGGAACAACAAATATGTTATCCAGTTTGACTCCGTTCTTTTCAATAAATTTGCCGTCATCCCTTCTTTTGTACATTGGATACCATTCTTCATCAAATCTTGTGCTTTCAGTGAAATTCTTAGGGAAATGTTTCGAGCATTTCCCCTCTTTCATGCATGGAGAATTTTTGTTCATCGCACCACAAGGACCATGCATCATACTATCCCCAAGAATTTCATATAATTCAGGGCTCTCTATTGGATCCGGAATTTCAGCAGATATAACTCTATCAGTATCCTCTGCGGTTGAAATCTAATCATTGGGATGCAAAAATAGAAGGATATGAGCATGAGGCAATCCACGCTTTTGAAACTCTATTGTGTAAACCACTGAAAGAAAAAAACTTATTACATTTAGCTTATAATCAAATATGTTTATGATACAATATCAATATTCGAAAATCTCATAGCATATAAATGACATAATAGAATAGCATTACAAACTTACAAGCATTAACTCTCCCGAACATTTTTTTTATCTTTGAGATCATGTATTAATTGATCTAGTTTCATCTTGAAAACTCAGCATAGGATGTCAGGTCTATCCTCTGATTTGAGTCCCCTCTTTTGGATAAATCTATTGATTTCTGGCCATTTTGGATTACAAGTGAATGTGATAAATAAATCTGGGTATCCATAACACTTACATATGACCATGGCGTCTTGATAATTTTGCATCATGTACCTGAGTCCTGCTGTAAATGATGAAGGTAAAACTACCCGTTTTCCAATGGAGGATGGATCTGTGTCTCCCCACATTACAACATCAGAAAGGTTCCTGTATAATTCTGACCTTAATTGCTTCTGATGTGTTCGAATGTAATTTAGTCATTCTGCCTCTATCATTGTATACGCATCAACTAAAAATTGTTGAAATAACTTTCTTAACAACAACAACGTTGCAGCTTCATGTAACCTGTCTTGAATCCTAAATGTAAAATACTCTCTAATACTTAATCGTTGTCGTTTCCTCATAGAATTTTCATCGGTGTCCCTCAACGGAATATCACCGCTATATCCATCCTCACCATATGGAAAAAACAACGGGTATTGCATAGCAAGGTAAGAAGGATGAAGTTCATTAATTCGTTGTAGCATTCCTGATTGTCTTTCAACAATAATATCCCTATCTTCCGCACATCCAATATCTCCCATAATGAGAGCTGCCACTTCAGATGCACTTGGGAGGTTGTATGTGCTCCCATCAGTCTTCCGTTTTAGTTTGACATTTTGAGAATCGTTAGGATTAAATCGATCTCTTGCCATTCTAAAAGCTTTAGCAATAGGGTTGTGTAGATCAAGCATTGTTTTGAGGTCATCAATAATTGCATCTTCGAATTCATCAGAATTTCTTGAATTCCGCTTCTTCTCTAGTCTTTCCTCATACCACAACATCGCACCACAAAATCTACAAGTATATACTGGATCTCCTACATCCCAGTATTCTGTTTTATGATACAACCACGTTAGTTGATTACTAATACATTTAGGAAAATAAATTGTAAGGAGAAACACATTACCTTTCAATGAGTTAGCTGAGATATCATTTTCACCTAAACACAAAAATTTCATAAATATTAAAATATGAGGTTGTTGAATTACTTAAAACTTTAAATAATGTTAACATTGTTATATAATACCTTCGCTATCTGCAGTGTCGTCATTGACATTGGGATTTTCTTCTAAGGGAAAATCAGAGCTACTATCACCTATATAGGAGGTTGCTGCATTACTTAAAACGTTATTCAATTATAATAATAATTATTATATTTTTTTTATATATAATACCTTGGTTAACTGCTGTGTCATCATTCATAGTAGAATTTTCCTCTAAAGGCAAAGCAGAGCTACCCTCACCTGTATTTGAATAGACACATTCATTTCATTTAGAATATACTACGAACATTTTAATCAACACCAATAACAATACAAAAATTAGTAGTATGTACCTCCTGATATTGTTACCAAGTTTGGAACGTTGTTGTCTCTTGACATTATGATTCTTCCATTTTGAATTACTTTTTTTCCGGGCATCAAATGGTACTTTTTCTTCTAAGTTGAGCCGCATCACATAGAGTGGAAGTATGGATTCTCCTAAATTGTTTGGGAACAATTTGCACTTGATTTAAAAAAATCATCCAAAACTAATACGGCAAACAGAGCACGTTAAAATACTAAGAACCAAAAAGTTGTTTAAATGGTGGTTTTATACAAAAAAAAAAAATTATAATTGTATCTACAACAATGATGGAAATTATAAAATGACTTCAACTTATGAGCTCTTACTTTAATTTGATACATTGTATTAAGTATCACAATTTTCAAGATCAATTAATTATAAACCAAGTAATTGTAAGAATGCTACTTCTAATTAAAATTTTCAAATGTATATGCATGTATATTATTATGTAGTTGTGCTCTATTAATTTCTAGTTTTGTATAGTTGCGCTCTATTTTATCCATCTCATCCCCTCACCCACAAAAATCAACAAAAAAAAAGATTTTAAAGGTAGTTTATACATGCTAGCTATTGTGTTGTAGCTAAATTTAAAAGTAGGAGTGACTTGACCATTTGAAATGTCGCCTAATGGGTTCCTTTGAATTGATTGCACGTCTTTATCCTTTGTTTGCTCTATATCACCTGTAAAATATATTTTTCATGTTTAGTTGAATTTGCCCGATCATAGAGAGAGTAGTTTTATTCAATATGTAAATTAGAAATTACCATGATTTTCACTATCACGATTTCTACGCTTCCTTGTGATTATCGCTTTTCTCTTTAGCCTTGCAAGCCGTGCAAAATTTGGATTCATGGATAAATCTGTTGACAATATGTGGACAAATTATTTATATAACAAAAATTAAGTTTTATACGATGAACTCATTTGTTAATGTGACGTACTTTATATATATTGATATGAAGTTGTTTGCGTATGACATCAAAAGAAAAAATAAAACATTAAAATTGTATGCAATAAGTATAGTTCTACCGCATGCAACTTATGAATTTCAATACCTTTAGACCAAAATCAATTAAAAAAAATCTTTTAGAAGGGTTTTTTTTTTTCAATATGATATAATTAACTTACCATGTATCAAAGTAGTATTACTTATAAAATATTTTATGCTTATCACTATAGAATGAAATAAAATTGTCATAAAAGGAAATACTAAACTACTTCCTCCGTTAACTATTATTTGCAACAAAAAGGGTATTTGCAGACTCCTAGGCAAAATTTGTTTGTGAGTGTAAAATAGAGAGAGAAAAAGTTGGGTGCATGTGATGAGGAGAGAGATAGAGAGAAATGATAACCTAAAAAGGAAAGAAAACATTTGTTGCATATAATAGTTAGCATCCATTTATAGTATATGTTGCAAATAATAGTTAACGGAGCAAGTATTTTAATCATATATACTATACCTAAATATAATGTTAATTCCTTTCCCAGTGTATATTCCATTAGCTTTTCCATAACTACTTTTTTGCTACTGGTACTTTCTCATAATTTAGTCGGCCAAAAAATTATATAAGATCATTTTTCTACCCTATAAATATATTGAATTTTATTACACGAAGTAAATAGTTAGGAAATAAATAGTTAGGTTGTTGTATATCTTTTCATACATACCTAAATTGGTCATTTAATCAACTAATCATATATTTTAGATATATTGGAATCAAGAAAATCATTCTGACAATCTATTTACTATGCGTATGCCGCCTAAATATATTCTTATTTCCTTGCCAAGTGTATATTCCATTATCTACCTTCTATGTTATAAGTTGCAAGATGCACTAAAATGAACCTACTCTATATGATGCTTGATTATTGTAAAAAAGATCATTTGAATTATTTTTTCATAAACTTTTATTTTTTAAAAAAAAAAAAACTGAATTTAGTGGATTTTTTTACTCTATGATGACTATGATTTTTCATTAAATAAATTAAATAGTTAGGAAATAAATAGTTTGGTTGTTGTATATATTTTCATTACTACCTAAGTTGATCATGAAATTTTATTTATTTATTTTTTGGTATAGGAATACTGTGCAGAATTCACTCTATGGGATTAATGGAATCTTGTGTACGTCAATACACAAATGTATATATAATGCCTTTTTTTTAGGAAATATATAATGCCTAAATATGTTTTAAGTTTGCTGTCAACTATTTATTTATTTTTGTACAGAACTCATTATATATTCTACACGTACCTCAAACAAAGAATTATTTTTTGCATTAACATTTGGAGAACAATTTTTTCATGTGTATTATTTAATTATTCTTATTACTATTCAATTCAAATATAAAATAGGCAATGTAATATTAGACGATGAATAAAATAATAAAATATCTTTGTAAAATTACTACAATCAAAAGTAGGCAAAGTTATATTCCACGAATCTTATTATAATTTGTACTAAAAGATAAAATTCAATTATTCTTTGGATACAAAACAATAATACTAAAAGCTTTGACCCCATAAACTATCTTTCATACAAAGTTCAATCCTTGCAACTTGCGAGTGTTGTCCTCTTTTTCTTGTTTTACTACTATCTTCCTTTTATTGGTAGAGTGTTGTGCAGAACTTGATTCGCCTTCAATCTCAACAGATGAAACATTCTCAAGAGGTATTTTTGTTGGAGTGATAAAAAAATCACTTGGATCCCCATTATCACAAATCACAGATTTAGATTCTTATAATGTAAGTTTCAAGATTTTTTTAGTACAATAGTTAATTATATATACATAATTAAAAATCATATACTTAATTATGTATCAACTTTTTATATATAAAAAGTTTACCTTTTCTTTCTCAGATGAAGTTTCTATTGGTTTATTGGAAGACTGGACATCGACATCATCTTCCTGCAAATATTGATTAATAAAATGCATTTAAAAATTTACTTTCCATCATAATTGACCATATTTTATAATGAGATTTATAATGTCATTAGTTATCTCCACATTACTATTGACTTCCAAAAAGGATTTGATTAAATTCTCATCATCACTTATTTTGAGGACCGTAAACTTATCTCAATTCTTTTCGAGATTGTACTTCGAAATTTGGACCTTGAACAAATTTTTTTGTTCAAAAGTAAATCAAGTTCTTTTGGATATGGATCATTTTTACCTTCCTGCATAAAAAGAAATTGTATTAGAATGGTTGGACAAAGAAGGGTTGGATAGTCCAATATGAGTATTAAAACTCAAATGTTATACTCATATTTTTAAATACCTTTGACAGCTTATCCTTCAAATCCATAGCTGATATTTGAAGAATTTGAAATATTTCACGATCAAACATGACAAAAGTTGTTGTTCCGCTATCATCTTCCACCGTCAGAGTCACTTTGTACCTACATGAATAGAATTGTAAATATTGCAAAGTATGAAGCATTTAAATATTTCATATAATCATGTACTATATTTTGAAAAAGTACCTTGGCAGAGCAGATTGCACATGTGCGTCACATTTTTGGCACCAATATCTTCCACCTCCTTCATAATCAACCTTTTTGTTACATTGTTTGCAAGAATTATAGTACCATGCGGTATCAGATTCTATACCAACGATGGTAGCAAATGTCACAAAATAACATTTCTGTAAAATCCATATAGTATATTAACTATTTTTAAAAAAGATGTATCTCTCTTTTTTTTTTTTAAATGTAGTGAAAAATCTATAATTATATATCAAAGGGAATATATTATCTCGCAATATTTAATTATCCCGTATTTATTACGACCTGTGCGATTGGATTAATAAAAAAATCTTATAGAATATATTAATAAAAGAACACATTCTAGTAGAATTTTTGTTAAACTATATTCTATCTATAAAATAACTGAACTATATATGCGTTATTTTTATTCAAAAAAAAAATTCTATAAATTTTGTTAATATTTAATTATTTATATACACACATAATTATCAAATTAACTTACTTTATTAGTCTCACATATCTCGTCCAATTGCTTGCGTTCATACATTATCAAAAATTCATCGGACAAAGAATGTGACATTTGACTTGGCAACTGAGTTATATTTTGTGAACGAGAATCATCTCCACCGATAATGCTAACACTAGTAAAAAAAATATTATCAGTTCGATATATGTTAGTTAGTTGGCAATATACACGTATTTAATAAAATTAACTTAGTGATTTGTTATGCCTGCCCCTAAAATCACGCACTTCGGACATGTCTTCATTAAGGAATATCTTTGTTGCAAAAAGTGAATTTTGTAGAGTAACTTCATCTAAATAACAAAACTTATCAATATTCAATTATATCAATTTTGAAAAATAAGTTGAAATAAAATAGAATTACCTCTAAAGATCTTAATCATAGCAAATTGTATTATGATAACAACGTGTCCTTGAATGTCATCTTTTACAAAATTTGACACTTGTTCAGCATACTTGCCCCATAAAGTAGTTTTCAATTTGTTCTTCCTATCAATAGTATTGAAGAAAACAATAAATTTAAGCAAAATTTAATTTTTTTGTACAAAATATAATATACAATAAATTATCTCACTGTTGATCTTCTATCTCAAGTGGCAGCTTGAAATTTGGTGTAGAACCTTTCGACTCATCTATCATCTTACCAATTCCCGTAATCGTTCCGATTACATCTATAAGACACCACAAAATATATAAATTTTAAAAATTTATATTTTTAAACAAACAGAAATTAAAAGGGACAAAATACGTGTCATTTAAAAGGTAATATGAGATTTACCGACTAAATAAATGTCATTTAACTGTTTTTCAAGTATTTTGTGAAAAGGGACTAAATCTAATCCGTGTAAGGAGAGCCCAACTTCTTTGCAATCTTTGATTGAAGTCTTATAAAAAAATTGATTTTATAAGTATGACAAGTTGCTCTATACTTTCCATAATTTTTTCCTACTCCAAAGTTAGAAATGATGCAAGTTGAGCCTTCATTCACAAGTTTTTCAAATCGCTGAATAAGTGTTTGTTTGATACTGGCTTGCATCTTTGATCCCTGTGATAAAAATTGTAGTAATTGTTATGTACATAAATAAACAGAACGCATTAGTAGTTTGAATAAATTACGAAACAATAAAAATAACATTGTACCTTTTCATCAACCAAAACGAATTCAATTGAACCAATTTTTTCAGGTTTATTGTAATCTGGAACATACCAAACTCTCACAATCCTAACTTTGATCTTCCAATTTTCTTTAAGAGGGGTGATATAATTCAACATGGTGTACGACATTTAGAATTTAATGATATAAAATACAAACTTTTGGTTCTTGTATATCAATTAGAATGATAAGTGTATATTTATATGTTTTCTACACTCAAATATAGTGTTTATTAATTTAAGGAAGGTAAGGGTGGTAACTATGTCAACACTACATTTTATTAAATAATCAACCAACTATATGATAGTGGAATGTTGAGATTTTACTAAAATAACTAAGTAAGGAGATACGTTAATTGTGGAATATAGTAAAAATATTGTTCATAAAAATGATTTGTCAAATCACAAATTAACTATATTCCACATATTCCATTATATTCGTAACATATGATTCTTAATATATTTTGTGAATATTATTACTTAAAAATCTATATGATTCTTACTATATTTCGTAACATATGATCCTTACTATACAATCTTTGTGAATATTCTTAATATATTTCACATATTCCACTATATTATTTTACTTAATATATTCCACATATTCCACTATATTATTTTGAATGAATATTATTTTGTGATTCTCTGCCTTTTCACATACATGTAATAAGATATAATCATAAACTTTTAGAGATTATTTGCTAAGTATAGATTGACGTACCAATTTTGCCAAGTAAATAATATATATATACAGCGGTATATATTTTGTGACTGGGAAACTCTTGCTTTGAATTTCTATAATAAATATTATCCTGCAGAGAGAACAGCGGTACTAAGAAGTGCTATTCAGAACTTCGCTCAAGAGGTCGACGAAACATTATATGAGGCTTGGGAGAGGTTTAAGGATCTACAGAGAGAGTGCCCCCACCACAATCTAGCACAATGGCAATTGATCCAAGCATTTTATAATGGACTTGGAAATTCTTCTAGATCAGTATTAGATTCGGCAGCTAGTGGGAGGTTTATGAATTTAAATGTGGATGATGCAGGACAGGTTATCGAAGACATGGCAATGCACAATTTCCAATATGGGAATCCGAGGGGGTTTGCAAATAAGGGAAAACATAATGCCGTTTCCGTATCCTTTTTGCAAGCCCAATTAACGTCTATTTGTCAAAAATTAGATAATCTTACTGTTGTTCCTAACTCTGTAGCTAATGTTTCTGCTGTTGCTAACCATGAAGCTTTTTGTGAAAATTGTGGAATTGTAGGTCATTGGGAGCAAGATTGTAGGAGCTCTATGGAACAAGTTAATGCCTTCCAAACCTATAGGCAAAATAACCCCTATTCCAATTCCTACAATGACGGTTATAAAAACCATCCTTATCTTTCATACCGGAGTACCAATGTACAAAACCCTCCACCTCCACAACAACCACAACAGCAACCCCCACCACAGCAAAAATATTACCATCCTAATGCCAGCCAGAAAAGCCAAGCATCACCCTCATCATCTACCGACCCTGCCATGACAGAAATTAGAGCGATGCTAGCTAATATGCAAAAGCATATGGAGAGTAGGGATGCGCAAATTGATTCTATTCTAGCCCATAATAAAATTATAGACAATAAAATTGCACAACTTTCATCTACCCTACAATCCCGTCAGCAGGGAGCTCTACCATCACAACCTATCCATCCTACAGATCATGCTAATGCAATCACTCTAAGGAGTGGTTCACATTATGATGGACCTCCTATGCCAAAGGAAGATGGACCAGTTTCTGATCTAGATTCCTCTATACCAAACGGTAATCCGGCTAGCCCTGCAGGGCTACAAAAAGATACTAACCCTACTAATGTTTCTGTGCAGGGTAAATTGCAGGATAAGGGAGGAGATGTGCAGAGCCCAGTTATCAAGCTTCCATTCCCTAATAGACAACTGAAGAGTAAGCTTGATAAACAATTCGGTAAGTTTTTAGAGGTTGTGAAAAACCTGCAGGTAACAGTTCCTTTCACTAACTTAATCACTCAAGTACCTGCCTATGCTAAATTCATGAAAGACATCCTGACTAGGAAAAGGGCCTTTAATGAAGTAGAAATTGTAGCTTTCACAGAGGAGTGTAGCGCTTATTTGCAAAATAAATCCCCTCCTAAATTAAAGGATCCTGGTAGTTTTTCTATCCCTTGTCACATTGGGAATGTTTTCATTGATAAAGCTTTATGTGATTTGGGAGCTAGTGTCAGTGTCATGCCATCATCTATATGTGCTAAATTAAATATGGGGGAATTAAAAATTACTAATATAACTTTGCAAATGGCAGATCGTTCGGTAAAATATCCCTTAGGTATTTTAGAGGACGTACCTGTCAGAGTTGGTAAATTTTTTATTCCGGTTGATTTTGTTGTTTGAGATATGGCAGAGGACACACAAATACCCATTATATTAGGTAGGCCTTTCCTCCACACTGTAGGAGCTATTATTGATGTGAAAAATGGTAAACTAACCCTTTCTGTAGGTGACGATAATGTTACCTTTAATTTAGGAAAGGTTTTGAAAGGGCCTATGTTAGAGGAAAATTGTTGTTATATTGATACAATTGATATAATGGACAATATTTGTGTTGATAGCTTGCCACAGGTTCTTGCGAAGGATCCCTTAGAGGAAGTTCTCTGCGGGAATTTATCTAGCGACAATGCAAGCATTTGGGGTAATGAGATACAGGATATTGAAAAGGCTCTTTCCTTAGAAGAGTTAAGCCCCAAGGAGACAATGAAGGTAGTAAATTTAGTTCAGGAATCAAAACCTGCAGAGGTCAAGAAACTTGAGCTAAAATCTCTCCCTTCTCATTTAAAATATGTTTTTCTAGATGAGCAGAAACTACACCCCGTGATCATCAGTACTGCACTCACTGACCTACAATCTTCCCAACTTCTAGGGGTCCTCAAAACCCATAAGAAGGCTATAGGGTACAGTATTGATGATCTCAAGGGTATTAGCCCTGATTTTTGCATGCACAGGACTCATCTAGAGGAAAATTACAAGCCCTGCATTCAACCCCAACAAAGATTAAATCCAAACATGCATGAAGTAGTCAAGAAAGAGGTGATGAAATTACTTGATGTAGGTATCATCTATCCTATTTCTGACTCCAAGTGGGGTGCAGGTAGTACCGAAGAAGGGTGGGATGACTGTGATAACTAATGATAAAAATGAATTAATTCCCACTAGAACTGTAACAGGGTGGCGTAAGTGCATAGACTATCGTAGATTAAATATCGCCACTAAAAAGGATCACTTCCCTCTCCCCTTTATTGATCAAATGCTTGAGAGGTTAGCTAATCACAAATTCTTTTGCTATTTGGACGGGTATTCGGGATTTTTCCAAATTCCGATTCACCCTGAAGATCAGGAAAAGACCACCTTTACATGCCCTTATGGCACTTTTGCATATCGTAGAATGCCCTTTGGTTTATGTAATGCACCTGCTACCTTTCAACGTTGCATGATGAGCATTTTTTCTGATTTCATAGAGTCTATTATGGAGGTCTTTATGGATGATTTTAGCGTATATGGTTCTTCATTTGATTCATGCTTAATTAATCTCGCTAAAATTTTGAAAAGATGTGAAGAGTGCAACTTAGTACTTAATTGGGAAAAATGTCACTTTATGGTGACAGAGGGAGTAGTCCTTGGCCATATTATATCTGATAAGGGCATACAAGTAGACAAAGCTAAAATATTAGTGATTGAGCAATTACCTCCCCCAGTCAATGTTAAGGGAGTTAGAAGCTTTTTGGGTCATGCGGGGTTCTATCGCCGCTTTATCAAAGATTTTTCTAAAATTGCTAAACCACTAACACAGCTTTTGCTCAAGGATGCCCCATTTATTTTTACTGACGAGTGTCTTGAGGCTTTTAACAGGATTAAGCAGGCTTTGATATCGGCACCCATCATATGTGCTCCCGATTGGAACCTCCCTTTCGAGATCATGTGTGATGCAAGTGACTTTGCACTAGGAGCCGTGCTCGGACAGAGGAAGGATAAGGTTTTGCATGCTATTTATTATGCTAGCAAAACCTTAGATGAAGCCCAAGTCAACTATGCCACCACAGAAAAGGAGTTTCTTGCTGTTATTTATGCTTTAGAAAAATTTAGATCATATCTAGTTGGTTCTAAAGTTATTGTTTTTACTGATCATGCAGCATTGAAATACTTGATAGCCAAGGCGGAATCAAAGCCAAGGCTACTCCGTTGGGTTCTCTTGCTCCAAGATTTCAACATTGAAATAAAAGATAAAAAGGGAGCAGAGAACGTAGTGGCAGACCACTTGTCACGTATCAGGTATGATGAGGGTAAGGATTCTTTACCTATAGATGATTCTTTCCCTGATGACAACCTGTATGCAGTTGTAGAGCATCACCCTTGGTACGCCGATTTTGCTAATTATATAGTGGGTGGTACTCTACCCCCTGACTTGTCCTACCAACAGAAAAAGAAATTCCTTTATGATGTTAAACATTATTTTTGGGATGACCCTTTTTTGTTTTGTGAGTGTGCATATGGATTATTTCGCAAGTGTGTTCCCGAATGGGAGGTTCACGGCGTCCTTACCAGTTGTCATACTTCACCTTATGGTGGACATCATGGCCCCACTAAAACGGTGGCTAAGATTAATGAGTCAGGCTTCTTTTGGCCTACTATGTTTAAAGATGCTAACAATTTTGTGCAGACTTGTGACTCTTGCCAGAGGACTGGCAACATTTCGCGGAGGCATGAGATGCCCCAAACTGGGATTCTCGAAGTCAAAATATTTGATGTTTGGGGTATCGATTATATGGGACCGTTCCCATCTTCCAATGGGAATTGTTACATACTTGTAGCCGTAGATTATATGTCCAAGTGGGTAGAAGCCATAACTTCACCAACAAATGATTCCAAGGTAGTCATTAAGCTCTTCAAGAAGATCATATTTCCCAGGTTTGGTGTTTCACGAGCTATTATTAGTGATGGGGGTACCCACTTCCATGAAAGACAATTGGATAACCTCCTCAAGAAATATGGCTTATATCACATAACAGGGCTTAGTTACCACCCTCAAACTAGTGGTCAAGTTGAGGTCTCTAATAGG